TCGGGTGACCGGCTGATCGGTTGAATTCTCTGCCTTAGGGCGGGGAGGAACCCGAACGAGGCTACGCCGAAGGGCGGAGTCTCTTTCGGGGAGGTTACCAACCCTGAACCCGTTTATACGGGTTCAAAGGGAATATTTTTGGCCGAGCCCACGGGCTCGGAGATCCCACGTTAAACCGGCCTCGTGGTGGGGTGACTAAATACTGTTCAGTCTGAAGTCTGGAATGAGGTCCGTCAGGAGTCTGTCAGTCTGTCAGTCAGAGCGAGTCAGTGAGTCGAGTCAGAAGCAGTCCGAAACAGAATCGCGTTCAGACAATTACTACTAAACCTGATTGTTCGTACTAACACTTTCTACTTCTCTGTATATATTCCTGTTTGTAATATATCTGTGTGATTCCATATCCGTGTTCGAGTTCTTCTTTATTGGTTCTACCTTGGACTATCACCGTGGTACAAGGAACCGGACCATAACACTAATTAAGTTTCTTTTTTCTTGGTTTTCAAACGTTTAGCCAACTTGACATCATTGTTCGTAAGAATCACAGAAAACCCCTTTGAGTTATTCAGCTAGAAAGAAAACAGGTTAAAATCATTTTGTGTCAGCCCCGCTTGTCTTATATAGGATACCTCGGATATTTGAGGACATGTACTCGTTTGCCTACGATTATGTGATAATCAATTAACGCAGTTTTATCTTTTCAGAGCGCTTTTGTCGACATATCAGCTAACGAATGGGATGAAAGGACGTTCTGGGATTATTTCAATTCGCGTCAAGCGTTGCGATGATGAGAGCATTCGGACGATACCTGTTCACGAGGACTCGTGCAGCGGGCGCAGGACACTATCTGTTCGAATCCCGGGATGTCAATGAGGACCATGTGGCGAATGAGAATATTCTGTATAGCGCGTATGTGAAGAAAGGGCATTACACACGTGCACACTCACACACACAAGAAAGATGGTTGCTCCGAGCAAAACGATGTTTGAACAATTTGAAACCCGTAGATTTAGTCAAAGCAAGGACAGATCTCTTAATAAGCGCCTGTCCCTGCGGTACAGCTAACTTAACAAACATGGGGCACGGGATTTCTTTTCCAGACTTACAGAATCTGCAATAAAATCTAAATTCCCAATGTTTAGGATATATTTTTTGGATCTTATCCTCAATCCAAGCTTATAACTGCTATTAATAAGTTTGGTAATTAATAATATACACAATGCGAGTACTATTTGAGGACATATAGTTTTAAGTTCACTACACACTCAAATCATTTAGAATATTATTTTCTTTTTATTTCAGATAACCCAATCAGAGGAAGATAACACAAGAAATGAAAAGACATCCAGTCATTGTTGCTTTAGCTGCAAAACATAGGGATTTAAAAATCAGTAATTTTTTACATGTTGCCATATCATTGGTTCATAAGGTTGGATCTAGAGGGATGTGATGGCAATGTTTCCCCTGTAGCAAAAAGAAAAAAGCATTCACAGCACACTGATACCGTGAGAACATAAGAATTTATGAGGAATTTTCAAAACATCATCGATGAGAACCTCGGAAGATCAATGAGGTCCATCGCCAAAGAACTTACAGGTATCAGAGTGGACTATCAGAACCGTGGTTCATCAGGACATTCGATATAAGTCATATGTAATGAGGAAAGGTCAATTCATATCGGTGAAGACACAGGAAAACCGTCTCATGCGTTCTAAACAGTTGTTGAACAAACGGTTCCCCACGAACATGGCATGCTTTGGTTTTTCTCTGACGAAAAAAAACTTTGACCAAAATCAGAAAACAAACAGACGGAATGACGGGTGGCTATGTGCATCTCTTTCTGAAGTACCCAGGGTGATGCACACCAAATATCCGGCTACTGTGATGGTTTTAGGAGTTGTGAGCAGTGAAGGTCATGTCATGACACGTTACATTTTCCCACAAGGTCTTAGGGTCAATGCTGCTGGATACATTAATTTTCTTAAAATGGTTGTTAAGCCCTGGATAAATAAAGTATGCAATGAAATGACATATGTCTTTCAACAAGACTCTGCACCTTCTCACAAAGCCATTGTAACCCAGGATTGGTTATCAAAGAATTTTTACGATCATGTGACCCCCAACATGCGGCCCCCTAACTCGCCAAATTTAAATCCTAGGGATTATTACGTGTGGAGCGTCGTTGAAACGGAGACTAATCGACATCCTCATAGTACCATAGCTGCACTGAAGGCCGCCATTATTCAGATGATGTCCAAAATGAATAGGGACCACTTAATTGCAGCTTGTGGACGGTTTCGAGCCCAAATAGAAGCAGTCATTGAAGCCAAAGGTGGGTTTCAGAGAATAATTAGATAAAGAAATATCATGAAGGATGTTTGTATCAATTTGAATTAAATATATACATTGTTTGCTAAGATTTTGCTGTTTATTTAACATACTAAAAATGTCCTCAAATAGCACTCGCTCCCTGTAATACTAATGATAATACACATATTAGTTTATTTACGCGGGATGTGTCCCCAAAAAGGCTGCTATATCTATTACTAGTTTTGACAATGAGAAATGTGGGAATAATGCAGCGACAATAATAATCGCTGTAGCATCAGGGTAAGACAGATCTGAACCTTGGGGGTGAAAAAAATGTAAGAACATTTTCAGGAAATGCATTTGCAGTATGGCAAAGGGGATTAAAAATAATGTCAAAAAAATTAATGGCGACAATGTTTTCTGATGAAATCTCCATGAATAATTCATCGACGCCGTTGAAAGAATAAAAGAGAAAATCTAATTTGAATATTGGTCATCCGAAATCTTGGAAACGTCTAATAAATTAGGTCCTTGATTAATTAGATGCAAAAAAAAAAAAAAAAAAAAATATCAGAGCATGCCTCACATTCTATCATCAATCAGGCCCACTTATATTTTCGATTGACCCGAACCAACCCCTCTAAGTTTTGCAAAGACGTCATAAAAATTATATTCATCTATGGTTAGCAGCCCAAAATGCGAAATGCAAGACGGAGATACCAAAATCAAACAAGTGCTGTAGTTTAAATATCTGGGAAATCAAAGGACGTATTTGGATAACGAAAGATGCCTTCTAAAAGCTAAGCAGAGTACTAGGAAAAAGGAAAATTTCGCTACAATCAAGGAAAAGTGTACCAAACTGCTACGTGATATCTATACTGTTGGACGATCTCCTCAAAGAATGAAGAAGTGTCTTGAAGCAACAGAAATGTTGTTCTACAGAAGGCTATTGAGGATACCATGGACCGAACACGTGACAAAGTTTTAGAGAAAAAGTAGACATACTTAACACAACGAAGACGCATTTGAAGTTTCTCAGGCATATAATGGAGAAGGAAGGCTTGGAAAATCTGATACTCACAGGACAGACTGAAGGCAAAAAAGGTAGCACGTGACATACTTAGTAAAATTGAGTAAATGAATAATGAAACAGTGTTTAGGAAAAAGAACAGAAAGACAAATTGTATTGTGCTACAAGCATCAGGAAGTTGTGGAGAGCCATGACCGCCTACGTCCTGAAAGTCAGTTTCGAGTAATGATTTTCAAAGCAGACTCACTCTCGGTCATCACAAGTCTAATAGTCAGTTATGGTCGAAAATGGCACAACATGTACTGTGGCCATAGCAACAGGAGTGTTTCTTTTGTAAGATAGTCTGTCAGAATTAATCTGCCCATTTCAGGTTGTATTTTTTTTAAAAATAATAATGGTCAGCCAAAGCCGAGTAACATTTTAAATAATAACCCTTTACTTCAAGCTAGAAGGTTACTGTCAAAATGGTTATGATAAATGATATGAGGGAAAGATGAGGATAAGGAGGATAGAAAAAAGACTGATACATGAATTGATGGGGTTATGGTTGTAGTGTTTACGGAAGCCTCGAAGCGAGACTTTTAAATTCAGAGTTTTTCTCCGCTGTTAGTCACCTCAGGCATTGAACTAGGGCTGTTTTGCTATTTAACCCATAGCTGGGGAAAAATAGAGTTATACTTTTAACAGTGGGATTAACGGTATGAACTCAGCACGTCGAATTTCCTTTTTGGGTCGCTAAGTGTTATACTCTTTTATTATGATTATTTCTTTTAGTAACTAAAACTACACAAAAGGCGCCATGAATCAAATCGTAAAATAAATCAAATAGACTGGAAGGCTTGGATATTTCACTAGATGAGCTGGAATTTCATTGAAATTTTTTAGAAATGTTCATAGCATCATGAGAAGTCCTGAAATCGAAACCATGCTCGGACGAGATCGTCCTCCACCACTGGTGCCCCGTCTACATAAATTTAAGCCTTTTACTAGAATGGCAGTTAGGTCTCACCGTTTCATTATTAATCTAGCTAGAAGCACGCATTATTTACATTATCGGACTGCTACCCTTATCTTCACTGCCATATTCCCAACGTTTCAGCGGTTGAATTCTCCGGCCGTTGAACTCTCCGGCCTTCTTCAGGTAATTGAAATTTCAAACCGAAACCTTTTTTTCGTCCACCGGGGTGGTGGTGGTCGTCGTGGTGGTGGTCGTCGTGGTGGTGGTCGTCGTCGTAGGTTGTTCTAGTTCCACGTGCCATGCCTCTTCCTCTTTGACCCAGTGGATAAAGACGTTGGTTCGATCCAGCGACTAGACCCAAAGAGTTGTGCGTAAAATACCAAGCCTCAACAGTGGTGAACAAAAAAACTTTGAGAGTTGAGTTAAAAGGGAAATAACTGAGACATCCGGGAGGGGCATGGCATGGAACTAGAACAATCTACCTTGGTGGACGAAATAAAGGATTTACTTTGAAATTCCAATCACCTGAAGAAGTCCGGAGCGTACAATGGCCGAAACGCTGTGAATATGTCAACGAAGATGAGGATAACAGTCCGAATAATGTAAATAAAAAATACGAGCACCTTTGTAGAGATTGATTTCAATAAGTTAAAACTCTTAAAATATAACAATATCGATCGAATCATAATTGCTTTCAAACGATACAAGGTTACAAGGTGCGCACAGGAAAGCGACACAAAGAAAGAAAGAAAGAAAGAAAGAAAGAAAGCGAGAAAGAAAGAAAGGAAAAGAAAGAAATGAAATAAAGGACGGAAAGAAAGAAATTTGAACGAAGCGAAAGAAAGAAAGAAAGAAAGAAAGAAAGAAAGAAAGAAAGAAAGAAAGAAAGAAAGAAAGAAAAAGAAAGAAAGAAAGAAAGAAAGAAAGAAAGCGAGAAAGAAAGAAAGAAAAAGAAAGAAATGAAATAAAGGACGGAAAGAAAGAAATTTGAACGAAGCGAAAGAAAGAAAGAAAGAAAGAAAAAGAAAGAAAGAAAGAAAAAGAAAGAAAGAAAGAAAGAAAGAAAGAAAGAAAAAGAAAGAAAGAAAGAAAGAAAAAGATGGGAAAAGAAACGAAATGCATAAGTGAAAGAAAATAAGTAAAACGAAAGTAAGAAACACAGAAAAAAAGAAAAGTAAGAGGAATGAAAAAAGAAACAAATAAACAAAAAAAGCAGAAAGAAAAAGAGACAAAATTCATGAAGGCAAGTGAAAGAAAGAAAGAAGGAGAGAGAGAGAAAGAGAGAAAGAAAGAAATGAAATAAAGAACGGAAAAAAAGAAATTTGAACGAAAAGAAAGAAAGAAAGAAAAAGAACGAAGAGCAAAAAAAGAAAGAAAGAAAGAAAGAAGAAAAACGAAGGAAAAAGAAGGAAGAAAAATAGATACAAAATACGTAGAGCAAAATGGAAAGAAATTAATCGAGAAACGGGTAAAAAACGAAAGAACTTAATAATGAGAAAGAAAGGTAAAAAAAAACACAGTAAAGAAGAAGAAGAAGAAGAAGAAGAAGAAGAAGAAGAAGAAGAAGAAGAAGAAGAAGAAGAAGAAGAAGAAGAAGAAAAATAAATAAACCGACTGGGGAGGTGGGAAGGCTAACAAAAGAGTGGATAGTTGAGAGTAAAAGTCACGTGGTCGGCAAGAAGTCGGGGGTGGGGGTCGGATCGCAGGTGTTGAATGCGTGTTCAACTGAGAGAGTCGATCAGAATACAAAAACCCGGGTAACAATAATTGGAATGAGGCAGTTACGCGCCAATGAGTTCCGGGTGGCTAGTTAAGTTGGGGGTGACCAAGTCAGGTCGACGAGGAGAAGAGGTACGAATCAGCCTTCTCCTAACTAGAAAATCACAACTCACCAAATAAACTACCTATCTATCGAGGTGTTTTTTAAACGTCGCTTCAAATAATACCAGACTGCTCGACGTGAGGTAATGGCTAACGAGCAGGTCTGGTTGGCCATGACTAATGAATAGCGAGTTCAATCCTCAGTGGATAACTTATTCTTGAACAGTGCGCCGAATTTAAGGTCATCATTGTAATTTTAGGACGTTCCAGGATATGGTAATGGTTAACGTGACATTTGTTGT